TAGTTTCCACCCATCCATCCTGGGGTCAGGTCGCAGAGGCAGTAGACGAAGCAGGTCATGTCCCTCTCCCTGGCAACGCTTTCCAGTTCTTCCTGGGGGATCCTAAGGTGTTTCCAGGCCAGATCCTTTCAGAAAGTTCTGGGTCTATCCTGTGGTCTCATCCCAGGTGATGACGAGCACAGAAGTCCATTAACAAAACATCAGGCAGTCATCCCCCTCCAGGTTTCTCCATCCCTTCACTTCCTAGAGACTCCAAGAAGGCTGAGTACTCTGAATTGCTGTTCGCTGCATAGGCACAAACAACAGAGTTTCCCCCAATGCAACATGCCGTGGCAGATGGTGACCCTCTCGTTTGCCAACAAAGTGCCGCTCACCCTGGGCAGCTCTGGAAAAGAACAGTCCAACCAGCAGTCTCACCAGCAGTTTGGTTCCAGAAACCTTGCTGTGTGTAGAGGTGGGCCCAGCTATATCTAGCCGGTGCCACTCCACATCCTGCACCAGCTCAAGTTCCTGCCCCACCAGTGAAATGATCTATGCCACCAGGGGGGCAGCCTGCTTCTGCCTACTGAATGGTATTGCAGCTGACTCCCATTTCCAGCTCTAAGGTTTCTGGGCCTACTGAGTGGTGGCCCTGTGTTACTTCTTTGAGTTGTGCCTGACTGAGCCTCACAGAACCTCAAGGTTCAGCCACCAGAAACTTCCTGGTGAGCTCCCCTCCCGAGCCTGGGTCCATTAGGGGACCGCAGTGCCCCGCTTCCTGGTATTTCATCAAGGTTTTATGAATCGCTCTTTGTCTGGTCCCGCCTCCACCTGTGCTGTGACACCCACACACTGCATCTTAGTCACCTTACATTTATATTCAGCTTTGTTGTTTAAACCAGACACCTTGTCAGGATGCCAGTAAGTAACAGTTTGTTGTGTTTATTGTCCTTGTGTGTGTGTCAGGTGTAGAAGAGGACTGAAGATGGCCGTCAGATCATCCGACATGAAGCAGCTTTCAGTAGCTGTTCAGGCTCTGCAGTGATCCTGACTGATCTCTTCATCATCAACCAGCAAAGCCTCTTTATTGGTCCCATCTCACTTGCTGTTTCCTGGTGCAGAGCTCTGAATGTCCACATAACTAACAGGAGATAATTCTTGACTTTGCTGTGCAGCCTTTTTCTCACCCGGAACATGACTTCCTGCTCATCAACAAGACAGCTTGTTTGCCTTTTTTTTTGTTTGTTTTCTTCTGTGCATCAGATTTTTAAAAATGAACCAACTGTTGATTTTGACCAACCAACAGCCTTTGAGATCTCTTTGATAGGCATATTTGCTTTTTAAAGCTTCATTATTATCTTCTCTTTACACCTTATATTGTCAGAGAGCTTCATCTAAATCATATTGTTTTATTTGAGTTCCAGACGTTTTCTTGTCCAGGACTCGTAAAGGACAGGTCTTCTTAGAAAAAGAGGTTGCTAAACGTATTGTGACTTACCTGTTTGAATCAAGTTTCAACAACAAAAAAAAACAACTCCCAATCAGGTCTTTAGGAAACATTTAGTAGCCAAGCATCCGGTCATTTTAAACCCTCACAGCTGGAGCACTACGTGTTAAACAGAATATTTCTCCCACACAGTTCTGTCTACATTGATGCCAACCTACCAAATTAAAGCTGAGACCTGACACTTTAATTCAGTATCACTTGGGCGATTATTCTGTCACAGCAGCCCTGCTCTCTTGTGGAGTCCCCCAAGGCTCGATTTTGGGCTCAGTCCTCTTTTCATTATAAATGCTGGTCTAGAGGTTCAGTTTAACATAAGATTCCTGTTCATTGTTTTTCAGACAATATACAAACCTGTCTGCTTAAAAAAATATAATAAATAGGAAATATTCAGGGCAGCCCTCGTGGGACTGCTCATAAGGATATTAAAACCGGGATTGATTCTGGAGCTCAGTGAAAAGTAAAATTTAGATGGTTATGTTTGGTCGACTGGGTCTTTTAAATGACCCTAATGACACTCTTTGCCCTTTGGCTTCCCATCAACAATTTTTGTTGACATAATCTTTAAGAATTTTCTCAAAACTTAGTGGTCAAAGCAAACTTTTTTTTCGATTAACATTTTATGGGAAGAAATGTATTAAACATACAGCAAAAGTGTTAACTTTGGGAATGCATGAAGGTGTACAATATTTAATTTCTTTTAATGTTATCTCTGGATTTAAAGTCAATAGTATCTAATATTCATATTTAGGGTCCGAGCACACCAGTGCAAGGTTTATTATTATTTATTATTATTGCATTGGGATGAAGCTGCTGGACGACCTGGCTCACATGAAGGAAAAGACTACAGGCAGCATGTTGAGGACCCGTCCATCGCCACTTGCGGCTTTAATTTTGTTTTGATATTCAGTGTGTCATTTATTTCTCATTTTTTGCAGTTTAAAAAACATTATAAAGATTATTGCAGTGTGAATGTTGGTTTTGTAAACCTCCCATGTTTGTGTTTGACCATGAAAGACAGAGAGGCACACAGCAGGACTCAGGAGTCACACTCTTTATTGAAGATCACCGGACCTTTCATTTGGCAATAATAAATGACTGAAACTCAAGGCAAACAAACTAAGAAACAGAACCAAAGTAAATGACAATAGATAGGAAAACAGCTGTCTGTCCTGGCGAGCCCTCGTTGTGTTCTCTGAGAAGTGGCATGGGTTCTACTACAGCTGACAACAAAATCTGAAATTAGGACTAAATGCGCTTTCCTTCCAAAACTAAAACTAAAGGATCTTAAATAGTAAAGAGTTGATGCCATAAACTGCACTAAAACTAAAAGTGGAGCCGAACCCAGTGTGGATTGGATACAAGACTTCAACTGCCATTGAAATCACTGACCAATACTTATTAAAGAGTGAACCTAACTCACTTACATATCAACGTGCTGAACCCTCCTGATGCTTGGATGCAGCAGCTCCTATTGTGCGTTCATTGCACATCATAATTCACGCACAACAGCCTGGAGCTTTAAACAGCATGTTGTGAAGTCGACCTTAATACACACTTAAAACGCTCAAGTGCCATTTATGTGTCTATTGCTCAGTGCAGAATTTTTCCCACACAAAACTGCCCTGAAAACATCTGTCTGAGTCTATTTTTGCAGAAGAACTCCTTTGTGATGTACATTGTTTTCTTCATTGTATCTCTTCATCAGTGTCCAAACCTTTAGCAACTACTGAACACATGTTTAAGAACCACTAAATCTTGAGTCAAACAAAGCCTTAAAGTGTTTTGTTGGTAGGGTAGGCCTTAGGTTGTAGTGACGACTTTTTGGTGGTATTTCCGTAGACAAGAGGTGGACGAGGTTTTTTGAATAATGATCACCAACTCAAGCTAATCTTCATTCTCAATCATGCATTTAAAGGTCACATATTGTGCCACATATTTTTTTTATTTTTTTGCAAATAATTCAAAGCCTCACATTTTCCCACAGTGTCACGTTCAGTTTTCAGCTCAAAACACTGAAAAGATGGTTCATTCTACCATGGCTGTATACCCAGAATGTTGTTATTTCAGGATAAAGTTTTCTAAGGACAGAGGTAAACATATATAAATGTTAACCGCTTATATTTTACACCTCCAAGTTTAAAACAACCAGAAAACACAATAAAAAATGGATTTTCACCATATGGAACCTTTAAAGGATGTGGATGTTTGTAGTTTCCCCATCATGTGAAGTCATATTTTTGGGTGTGCAAGAAGCAAAAGCAATCAGAATTCAAAGATTTGAGTAACTGCTTTGCTTTGAGCAAAAATCTTGCTTGTAAATTCAGACTTAATGATGTGAAATCACCAGGTCAGCCACTTGAACTTGGCTTACATAGACTACTAAAGCCTTGTAGTAACTTCAGCACTTTTTCACAGAGCTGGAACTATCTTATTCCTCAGGCATAAAAGGTCAACTCAAGCAATGCCACAGATGGCTGCTGGTTCCAAAAGGCCTTATTTTGAACTCCCTGACATTCAACAAATGTCTACTTCTCTGCAGAAATGCAGGTCATTATGGCTGTACTTTTGAAATTTGGGCCATCTGAAATGTGCTGGTGGTCATTTTGGAAATTATTGCTCCTTTAATAAGATCTGAAGGCTTATAGCTGCAATTGACAGTTGTCGTGCAAGTTTAATGTTTGAACTTTGTGACGATACCTGCGCTGTTAACACGATGTAGCTAAAGTAGCTAGTGGTAGCCCATGTGTGGATGGGTTGATGCTTCGGTCTAAGGTTCTGGGACTCTTTATGTGGAAAGCTAGGGCAGCAAATGAAAACAATGGCATCGATAACAATGCACACCTTGCTACCGAAACCTAGTTCAACATTTTAAATGTCTTTCAAACCTACATTTGTGGCAGAAAATACAGATATAGGCTACATCATGTGTGCAGACACAGCTTCAGGTTGCACAGTGACTCACAGCTCGAGTTGTCTAGATTGTTTGATCCCCTGTAGTATTTATTGTACTGCAACACATCAAAGCTTTTAGCACAGTCAAAATACAGTATAGTGATGCTAAACTGAAACTGCTGGTCACTGCTCCACTTTGTATTGTTTCATCCCATGTCTGAGTTGACCTATATTCCACAGATGAGTCAACTGTAGTTCATTGGGGGAACCAGTGGGCGAGCTTGTTCTGTTATACTGCAGAAGCCAAACTAAAGTGAGCCCAGGCGAGCTGATGTAAGGAGGATGGATTGGAAAACACTCGTACACACATGCACACACCACACACAAAAGTCATCTCCTAAAAAAACATGGCAGACTTCACATTTTCAATAGTCATACTGTCACAATATATTAGAAATCCTTTTACAAAGAAAAGCTTTAAGGATTTATAAGCATTGCTCAGTTCATAAATATATGCAGCAAAAATACATTACAATAAATCTCTCTTTAGGAATCAAGACAGGACATAAAAATGTGTAAAAATCTTCACTAGACCTTAAGGTTAGAATATTTGACTCTTTCACAAGTGTCCACTTAGCTAAACTGCAGAGCCCCATATAGACAGAGTTTGGTCAGGTTGTATCAATCCAAGAAAAACTTTTGTCTGACTACAGTATGTGCTCCCTGCTAACACCTCCAACGCACAAACTGTATATAAAAGATGGACGTAACCTCCGGGTCTGAAAAGTGAAGCCCACACAAACCTGCATTCTTTCAACTGGACAGCAGGGGGCGACTCCTCTGGTTACAAAATGAGTCTGCTTGTAGAGGACTCTTATGTAAAAATGACTCTAACTTGATTTGTTTGTTGTTTATTTTTACTCTCATTCAATACACCATGATGTTCATTTAGTAAATTATGGTCTCATTTGGTGCAAAATAGACGACAAAGAAGGGTATTTTTGGGGCGAAGCTACCTTGTACTTTACAGGTTGCTACTGTAAAAGCATGCGTAGTTTCATCAGATTCTATAGTCGGATCCACTGCTCGCTAATTACATGTGGTTTCTTAAGGACTACTGCTGATACAGCGGACGTGTAGCTGTTGTTATACAACTTTCCTAGTCCATGGGAGCCTACTTAGAGGACTCAGCTCCATACATACGCAGGAAGTTGTATCTATGCATTCTGTGCATACACACAATTGCTGAACATGCGTAAAATTGTCCATGTAACATAGCCGATTATGAAATTTATGTCTTGTGGACCCTAGAGGACGCACAGATCATACACTGGCCTAACATGGCAACAGCCAAATGCCAAACATGAGACTTATAAACAGTAGTCTGTAAACCAATGGGTGGCGTCACAGTTGTTATCTCCATCTTTTGTATACAGTATACTTTTTCTTGCTGTTTTCGAAGTCAGTTGCGAACATTTGCACAAACATATCCCCAGTTAGTGCTGCCAGAGTGAATACACACCAATCTGCTTTGCATTCAGTCTGAGCACACGAGCTCTGAGGCCGCATCCTGCCTGCCATCCACACAGCAGGAGTCGTCTTTACGTTTCCAAATGCCATAACATTGCATGAAAGAATGTAGTTAGCAAGTTAACCAAAAGTTACACTTAAAAACAAGCTGAAGCTCAGTTGTTGGTTTTGTGTAGAACACCAACAGTTTTCCTCAGAAATGTCCATACCATGTTGTTGCCATGCCGACAAAGGACTAAGGGGAAGTAGCATGGCTTGCAGATTCTGGCTCTTTTTTTTATTTTTATCAATGGCTCATTTTCTGGGATGGCACTTTCAAAATACATGATTTGTCATTTGAAAAGGATCCAACATGCTCAGTTATTTTTGCATGTACCTTCTCAAACCTCTGCAATGCATAGCTACGGTATTTTAAAATGCTATTAAAGTAGAGTGTATATATTTATATATATATATATATGAAATTTTAAATTAAAGTGTGACTGCCCAGAGAAAGTTTGAAACTCACTGCATTACAGTCACTCATAAAAATCAATAAATATCAATAAATAGTTGTACTCGTGCCCTAATTCATTTACATCTAAAATCAAAGTGCTGTGAATCTTAAATATGAAGGGGAATATCGCAGGTTTTTGACATGTGCTTCTGAAGCTGACATAAAATATCACATGTCAAAAGCAATGGTGCTGTTATGATTGCAGCTGTTATTGTGATACACCTCCTGGGAATGTGTGTCGAGTCCACAAAAGTGATCATATCAAAGGAAAATGTGACATTACAGGCAGTTCCAATGTGTCATACTGTTTCAGACATCATGCAAAACACCGGTTTGACTTTGAAAGCAAGACTTCTCAGCTTTCCCAGCCACTGAAACATGATGGAAACCCAAACTAGGTGATTTACTGTCACTTTGAAAGCTTATGGACAGAAACAGTCGTCTTCTTTTCTCATGTGGCATCCAGCAGAAAACACACTTGTGGCGCATTTTGGGTTCAAACCCTTTGACAAACATTTCCGTAGACACTGACTGCTGACAGACAGGAGCGTTTGAATTCTCTGGACAGAACAAGGAAGAAACGGGTGTAGGATTTTGGCTGTTAAAATGGCGGACAGGCGAGCGCGACTGCTGCTCACTCCTTCTTCTGATTGGCTAACAGGGAGGCCTCCCATCTCTGCGCCATGGCGTTCTGTCGTCGAGGCACCGAAGAGAGGGACGGAGGGAACTGGAGGGAATGGGGAGATTCAGCTAAACCACTGGAGCAAAGACACATGGACGGATGGAGAGTTTCATGGATTATGGGATGGACGGACAGTCGATGGACAGAACACAAGAGAAATGAACAGAAGACGGGATAGTTGGAGGAATGATTGGACAGATGTGATGGGAAGATGAAAAAATGAGTGAAATAATGAACATATTTGCATAATTGTGAACTAATAGATTAGAAGTATAATCAATCCAACTGATTGATTAATCAGCAAGTTCACAATTAATAAAGGTAACAAATGAGTGAATGAGCAAAGGAAGAAATAAATTACCAAACATAGAAATTGCAAAAGAAATAACGTAAACATGTACTGACACATGAAGGCAGTCAAACATCAGCTTCAGTGAACAATATAAACATCACTGTATTGCATGTTAGTATCATGTGAGCTAAAAGAAAATCATTTTAAGGTTTCCTTGTTGGTGTTCTGTATATGTGATTGAAGGTACATTCACAGATATTTTTTAAATGAACACACCATTTTAGTGTTTTTAACATTTAGCAGTGAAAGATTCAGACACTTTTCTCAAATGTTTAAACAAAGCTGAAGAGAAAGTGAATATCAGGTAAAGTAAAGCCAGACTAATAATAATGTGACTGTGTTCTATCCCAGGATAGTTCTTTATTGATCCCTATAGGCGAAATGTTTGAATTACAGAGTATAGTAGAAACTATATAAAGATGGAAAGCTAATGTCTGCATCACTGTGTTGTATCCACATGGATGTATTTATTTTTCTTGCAGAGCATCCAAGCAGTCAAAGAAAAGGCTGTGGAGTTCGTGGAAGCTAAAGGCACAGAAGCTGCCAAGTAAAGACCAATTATACAGTCACACACACCCTGTTGTGTATGTGCGTAGACTGCAATGTGCCACACTTGATTTACAACACATATGTGGCTGCAGATTCTTATACAGGTTCCTCCTCAACGTGATGTTGATGTTTGCTTGTAACTATGTTTTTTTTTTTGCTTGTCAGAGACACCAAGGCCAATCAAATACTTTTAAAAGTAGAACTAAGGTGTTGTCAGTTAACTGTCTGTACATATACATAAAACAGATTTTCAGTTTACTTCTATACTGAGGCTGCAGCAGGCAAAGTTTGTGAAGTTTGTGCATGAATATATATATATATGTGTGTGTGTGTGTGTGTGTGTGTGTTTGGCAGCCAACCTTGTGGTCACAAGACAAACTAGATCGTTCCATTTTGCGGGTCCTGGATGGAGACGATGGGGACGAGACACTTCTGTCTAGAACCTCTGGCACTGGAATAAATACAAAGGAAATAAAACATCATTTAACGATACTGGAAAAAGGAAACATCAAAAGAATACATTGTCTTCACCATCATGTGCAACCTGATGAATTGTAATAATGGCCTTTAACGTAGGACAGTCCTGATCATACGACAGTGTCCCTTTTCTTATGTTTGTTTTTAGGGAAAAGACGTCTTGAGAACGAGAAACACTTCTGCATTCGTCCTGAAATCTCATTGATCCAAGAAGAAGAAAGTCGTCATTGGTGAAGGTTGACAAACGTAAAATCCACATTAGTGTATCTTGTCAGTCACACAGTCTCACTCTCTCCCCTTGAAGCACTCAGAATCCTTTTCTCTGACAGTTTACATTTTTCACTCTGTCTTTCTGAGCTCAGCCGTGGCATATTGGCTGTTTGGCAGATTTTCTCGCTGGTTCATCTCTGCAATAAAGACGCTGGCAGAAGCTACAGTATGAACTCATTTTCTGTTTCCATTAATCTTCTATGGCAGTAAAACACATGACAGGAGCCTTCAGAAACTCCTTCAGCTTAAAATAGACCATTTTATGGCTAAATGACCCTGAAAGACTCACTATTAACAGGCTGAAAACACTAGTGATGTAGTCTGACTCACTGGATGAAGGTTGTGGGTATAAGCATGCCATTGGCTGCTCATTTCAGGCATCTTTATCCTTCCCTATCTTATGTTCAGGCGATTACAGTTTATCTGCTGTTGCTGTTCTGAATCTGGGCTGCAAGGTGACTCGGTGGTTAGCACTGTTGCCTCGCAGCTAGAAGATCCCCGGTTTGTGTCCCGGTGAGGACATTCAGGATCTTTATGTGTGGAGTTTGCATGTTCTCCCCGTGCAGCGTGGGTTCTCTTCGGGTTCACTGGCTTCTTCCCACACGGTCCAAAAACATGTTGAGGTTAATTGGTGATTCTAAATTGTCTGTAGGTGTGAATGTGAGTGTGCTTGGTTGTCTGTCTCTAAGTGTAGCCCTGTGATAGACTGGTGACCTGTCCAGGGTGTCCCCTGCCTTCACCCTGAGTCAGCTGGGATAGACTCCAGCCCCCCACGACCCTAGTGAGGATTAAGCGGGGTGTAGATAATGGATGGATGGATGTTCTGAATCTCCAAGTGTACATGAACTGTATTGGCAACAATTAAATGGCCTGAAAGTGAATATTTTGAGCATCTACAACACAGTTTCTGGAGATTCAGGTGTCTGACATCTAACCATGTGGACATACGTACCGTTGAAGCTGATGTTCTCGTTGAGGCTGGGAGACACCAGCACAGTGTCGTACCTCTCCCTCCCTCTCCTCCACTCCTCCTCTCTCCTCCTCCTCCACATCTCCTCCCTCTGCTTCCTCCACTCCTCCTCCCTCTGCCTCACCATCCGGATCTCCTGCTCCACCAACGACTGGCTGCTGAGGGACCGCAGCTTAAAAAACGGATTGGACGTGAAGGTGCTTTCCTGCGTTTCCACGGACAGGGGGCCAGAGCTCAGGCAGAACTCAGAGGCGCTGCGAATGATCAGGTTGGAAGTTTCCACAACGATGACGTTGGCGGAGGGCACCGCGTCCTGGCTGGCCGGCCAATCGGAGAGGCCGCCGATGGCTGAGGAGAGCAGGCGGTTCCTGGAGGTGGAGCTGGAGGAGTCGGGCTCCAGGATGATGACGTTGTTTGCCGTCATTTCATGATACACGGATCTGGGGAGGGAAGAGGAGCAGGAAGGAGACGGGGAGACAGACAGAGTCGGGGTTCGGCAGGCCGGAGGTCTGGGAGGAGATCGTCCTGTCTGCAGGGTGGACGGTCTGAACAACAACAAACACAACATCGTCAAGGCAGAACACCAACAGAGCTTTTTGAGTGCTAACACTGTCAATTCAGTTTTTTGGGAAATTTTGCGTAATATTCAAAATCTTTTAAGCTGTGCTATTTTTTATGTAACCAGTGGATTAAATCCATCTATGTAATGTGTGTTTCCTCTGGTGGCAAAGCAACACAGGCCGAACTCTTCGGTTCCCATCAGCCCTGCAGCATGTTTAAGCCTCTGTTACCTCACTGGTTTAGTTTTCTGGCAGCAAGGAGCAGTTTCAGAGGAAAAAGCTCTGATAACTTGCCTGATAAACACAGAGCATCAGACAAACAAGTAAACAACTAATTGCAGTACAGTGGAGCGTTTAGCAACTATAGAGTCATACTTTTTGGTAAGTTGGTGGAAATCAACCAGTGTTTAAACAGAGTGAACTTAGGACTGACATTTGTCAGGTCAGAGATGAAACTTGACTCCAAATGGATGATAATGCTTCACTGAGTTTACTGATGGACTTTTTCAGAACTTGCTACCTCAGTAGAGCACCAAACATCCTGAAGAACCCATCCCATCCCCATTATCATCTGGTACACACTGTTCCACCCAGTATGGATGAAGTTGGGACATAATATTTTGTCATAATATTGCATCTTGAGTTATGTTTTTCTCTGATGGAATCATTGAAACTCATTCATCTTTGTCACAAAAAAAAACAATTAGGCATTTTGTTTACTTGGCCTAATTTAGTCATTTCTTTAACACTTTCGATGTGTGTTTGGGGTCACTGTCTTGTTGGAACACCCAACTGTGTTCAGGACTCAACCCTCTAGCTCATGATTTTAGGTTTTCCTGAAGAAAGTGAAGGTAATTCTCCTTTCTCATTATTCCATTTACTTTGTGTAAAGCACTAGTTTCAATGGCAGCAAAACAGCCCCAGATTATAATACTGCCACCACCATGCTTGAACAGTAGGTATGGTGTTCTTCTGTTTTTCTGTTTGGATCTGAACTGACTCTTTTAAAAAAATGAAGAACCATTTCAGTGTGCTTTGTAATAATAGCATCTCTGCCCTCTGTTTGTCTTACCTGGGAATACTCAGGCCCTGTGCGATCATCCCTCTCTCTCTGCGGTGTCGTTCTTCTCTCTCCAGAGTCATTCGGATCTCTCTCTCCACCGCACTCTCTGGTTCCTCCAGCGGGCTGCGATATGACGAGTCATCCAGACCCGAGTCCTCTGAACTGGGGGACATGGTGGAGGACAAAGGAGGCTCCCTGGACACGGGAGGTTGAATTTCCCTTGCAGAGGAAACCACATTTAAGTTAGTATTAGCTACACCAAAAACCATCAACACACTATAGATAGTGTGATGTGTGTGCTTTTATTAACCACATTAATCTATGTATACCAATGTGACTGTAAAACACAATTAACTGAGAATAGTCTTCTTTGATCTATGTGGTGTTTTTATTAGCATTAGTTCTTTTTAGCATTAGCAATCTTTGTCTAAACTTGAACAGGGGAAGCCCACGCTTTTTATTCCCTATTGTTTAGGCTTTCTATCCAAGAAACAGTTATTGGTTTGGATAGAGATACTTCTGCTATACCTTGATTTTACCCTGTAAGACAATGTTATGGTACGGTGGTGTTTGCCTTTGATATCCTGTAAACATCAAAATGATAAAAACACTGGTTTACATTATTTTCTTTTAACTAGTGCACACATTTTTAGGTTGTACCATAAATGTATCCCTGATGTCTGTCTATGTCATGACAAGAGTCTGAGGGCCAAATATTCATAAAGTGGGCACAAGGGATCAACAAGTGTACATTGTTTTGGTCCATTCACACTCCCTGAAGTCCAAGAACTTTAAGGTAGAAGCTTAGCATACCATAAGTTACAGTTCGTTTATTCAAGAGCTGAGAAAGCAGAGTCAACAAACAATTACCTGTGTTTGAGTCGGGGGCTTCGAGTCGGGGGATACAGTGAAGTGTGGGTTCCCTGGAAGCTCCCTTGAGCTCTAAGTCCAGGTTTGGGGATGGGCCGACCTTTCACCTCCTCTTCCATCTTCCTCCACTGCTGGCGAGCCAACAGGAAGTCCACATGCTCAGTGGAGACGTTTTCACTGAGGGTGTCCTGGTGCACGCAGAAATCTACAGGAACCTGCTGAGGAAGATCAGACTTGGGTTTAGATTTAGGATCCCAACACAAGTTGTTTTCTGTCTGCTGGAGAAAACAGACTTTGAACACCATTTAGCCAAACCGTGGCTGATTACTGTCAGAGAGACGTGGAATATATCCTAATGATGAAGCCATGACATTGCAAATTATGGATCATGATCAAAATTTTACAAGTTCTGGCAAAATGTACTAATAGTCCTTTCATCTTCCTAAACTATCTCTTGACTGCACACTTTCTTGAGTGTACTTCAGTAAAAGTAGATTTTAAACCGGCTGTCAGGACTCTACTTGCTGATGCACATTTTAGTCACCAGGTGGCAGTGTTCATCTTTCTCCTTTTTTTGTGTACACAAATACGGCTTCAAACTTTTACGATGTTATCTGTTAGTATTTTACTTAATTTCTGCTGAAGGTAATATCCTGCAATTTAAATGCAGGCTGTCAACTGGTGTGTTTCCAGTTGCAAAGCAAGGTAATGTTAGTGCGAGGTTGTGGTGTGTCAGAATTATTCTCACAATGTGTTGTTCAGCCAAAAATCAAAAGCGTATTTGGTCATTCCAAACGGACCACACTGCCAGCTTCCTGAATGCACTACTATTTAAAAAACTGAGATACTAGAGCCCACTTTTAGACGATCTCTGATAGGAGGCATTGATGGTGCTGCACTGAGTGGTACAGATAACAGAGTTGAGCTACACATAAAGAAAGAGAGCTGGAAAGATAAATACCATGCTCAACTCCTCTATCACCTTCACAGAGCTGGCCAATAACAGTGTGAAGTGGGTGGGATGGTGGGTTTTGGAAAGGGAATGGGAAACAGAGACAACAAGCAGGCTATGTGTTTACATACATTTGACAGATATGCTGAAATACACAATTATAGAAGCTAAAAAAAAAGAAAGATGGTCATCATTTAGGAGAGGGAAACCCATACGATTACCTGGAGTGGTAATATGATAAAAGCGCATATGGGTCAGTTAGATCTCGTGACTCATGAAAAAGATGGTCAGGATGTCTGAAAAGAAGCTTTAATGAGGATGTTCTTTGAGCTCTCATGTGCCGTTGGTAGGAGCCATTCTTCAGCATCAACTTTCAAATTACAAGATGTAAAGTGAACATTGTAAAGGGTTTGAAAGTAAATAAAAGCCTGCGAAGATGGTCACGCACAATGTGGCAATGCAGCTCATGTCAGGAAGTGAGAATCAGGTGATAATGGAACTGTGGGGAGGCACTGGGCAGGGAAAGAATCTTAATTAAGTTGATGGCTTTTGTGACAACCTCAGTTGACCTTGAGACCAGCTCAGTTTGTTGTAGACTACTCTTTGAGGACTGAAGACTACTGACTGACCTGTACGACATTTAATTTTGACTTCAAGATGTTTTTAATAAGCACAGTTACAAAGAGCAGGTTGAAACGTACCCTCCTGTCAGGGTCGGTGGAACTGGTTGTGGAGCTGACCGAAGGGGATCGCAGGAAAAGATCCCTCCTCGTCCTCATCTGCTCCTCGTCATCCTTCCTGTCCTGCTCTCTCTGCTCCTCTCTTCTGGTTTCTACTTGTAGCTCATCACCTTCTAATTTCTCCTGCTTGTTCTCTCCACCACATATACTGTCAGGAATCCCTCCTTCTACCTGGTTGGTGACATCACTGGGAGCGAAGGCCGCCCATTGGTCCTCCCCTGCATCGCTATCCGAGTACACGATGGCCAGCTCTGCTTGGAGGCAGTCACTAAGGTGACTGTCGCTAAGGTCGTCTCTGTTGCCGAGGTCGTGGCTCCAGGCCTGTGAGGGATCCGTGGTGTCGAGCGGCGGCTCTGCAGATGAACTGTCAGTGATGAGGAGGAGATCTGCGAGAGTGTCGTCTTTCATGTCATCCACTGTTTCTTCGAGCCATCCATCCTCCTCTTTCATGCCTCCTCTTTCTCCATCTTCTACCTCTGCTTCCACACTCCCTCCATCCTCCCCCTCTGTCGTCTTCCGCCCTTCATCTTCTCCATCTACTTCCCTTCTACCCCACTCTTCTGTTTCTCCCCTGTTTCCATCTTCTCCATCTACTTTCCCTCTTTCCTCATCTTCTAACTCTATATCTCCTCTCCCTTCAACTTCTCCTTCTGTTTCTCCTCTCCCTTCTTCTTCTCCCTCCACTTCCCCCCTTCCTTCATCCTCTCCCTCGGTTTCTCCTCTCCCTCCATATTCTCCTCCTTCACTTTCCCCTCCTCTTTCTCTTCCCTTCTCTCCAATCTCAAAGACAAGATAATCACACTCGTCTCCTTTTCCATTTTCTTCCCCCGCAGCTGCTTCCTCCACCCCACGGCCCTCTGGGTAATGGAGTTCCTCTTCTTGCTGGCTGTGGCAGCTAAACAAGTTGTCTCTTTCCAGGTCTGTTAGTGGGGGTGAGGAGCTGATCTCCATGGTAACCGAATCCACTGGCGGTGCAGGAGTGGGAGAGTCGCTGACAGGGTTGTTGCTGCTGGAACTACCGTCGTCGGGGCTACCGTCTGTCAGCTCAGGGGTTGTCCTCCTCAGTCCCGCTGTAGCTCTCTGCAGAAACATACAAACACGGGATTGTAATTTAGACTCAGTAAAAAGTCAAACATTCTGCATATGTCTGACAATACTGTTAAACTTCTTTAAAATTTGTAATTCAAGGAGTACATATTTAAGCAGATTGGTTTTGTGAGCTCACATGACATAAAATGTATAAAATGTGTCAAAATTTGACTTAGTAGCTCATATGGGTGCCTTAGCTAGAAAAGAAAAGAAAAGAAAAAAGAAAGATTAATGACTATTTTGTAAATTTGGCTTAAAAAGTCAGCATTTTGACTTTGTATTTCAAAATCTTGACACCAAATCTGACAAATTTCAGCAAGTGCACCAAATTGTTGACTTAGTATTTTACTGTACTAATCAATGTTGTTCTATTAACCGCAAAGCGAGAGGACGACTTGTAGTGTAAAAAGTGTCACCTACAGTGACAAACCCTTCAGAGATTTCATGAGACTGTACAGCTCCTCAGAGTTTTAGTGTCTTTCAGCTATTTGTTTTGGTGAAACCTTTTTGGCTGTCACTAGTGTCATTTTTATCTGACAGAACCTGCAACAAACTAAAGTCAAAGTTAGACAATAGCGGGTGAAGAAGAAATCGGTGGAGACCAAAACAGAGCTAAAAGGAGAGCAAATATTAGTCACTTGAACACCATATGAGACACTATAAAGGTAAAGTAAACGTCAATACAACAGTTTGAAGTCTGCACTGACATATATACCATATAATGAGGCATATGCATGTACGGAATTGTTCACTGATGGCTGATGTATTTACATTAATAACAGTACAGTACACACTCACACACACACACACACACACACAGCACAGCAGATTAAAACACTGTACTTTCCCTATAAATGTTTGATGGGCTAAACTCAAACCTTCACAGCGTTGTCATGGCGACGCTGCGTTGGCTGTGAGTGGGTTTGCAGTTTATCATGGTCTGTCGTTCCAGGCATGTGCTGGTGACAGGCGGGAGGTGTTGCCATGGTAACACTAAGTATAGATGCAGAGGCAGGCGAGCTGCTAAAGTCAGTTCTCCTTCAGTTAAGTCACAATGTGTGGAAAAAGATCTGTTTCATCACATACTCCGCAACATTTCTCAGTTCTCCTTGGAACGTCTTACATGCACTTCTTCAGTCGCATCGCTGATGTGACTAGATAATGGACGAATAAAGGTTTGAAAACTAAAACACCGAAGCGCCGCAACACAAGTCCTGAAATGATTACAGAACGTATCCAGGCATCAGGAAACTAAACGCTTCTATCACTGACATACATACATACCCATGAATGTGTGTCAGCAGAAACACTGAATTAGTGCCAAAGCAGCTATAAGCAGCAGACAGCTTGCTCTGTGCAGTTTTTAGACTTCCTAGGTGGACTGATGCATTTTTCATGCAGCGCCTGACTGTTTTTTTTTTTTAAAAGAACAAACTAATAGGATAACAGCATTGTTTGATGTTGGTCGGTGCAGGAAGGAGCACCACGTTTGGAATTGATTTAGTCTATTTTTAATCTCAAAGGGAAATCTGAACAGTGCGAGTTGAATTTCAACTAATGTTTCCTTCTTTTCTCCAGACCACAGTTTGTGTTTCCACTAAAGCCTGATACCCCACAGCTGAAACTAAACAGGAAAGGTTCATTGTGTTGTATAGATTTAATTTACTTGGCAGTAAAACTACCAATTTCAACTAACTGTGGCGTGATGAGGCTGAAAGGACATTTTCTATTTCTCGGAATAGACGTAATTTCAAGCACGTTGCACAGCAGACGATTAACACTTTCCTTCCTCAGTCGACAGCTTCAGCCTTTTATCTACGACATTTAGCTTAACATTTATCCATTATGTTTAACTGCTTCAACCACTTTCCCACTACTTTTAGCCCTTTTACCACTTATCCATCGCTATTAGCAACTTTCAACCATTTAACAACTCTTACTTTTAGCTAATGGTTTCAGGTTTTTAGCCACAGCTCTTGGTTATTTGTTTCAACATTTTATCAACCGCTTTAAGCTATTTTTTGAAAACCATTTCACTTAGAAACCACTTAAACTATTTGTTGTTTTCTCTTCGGGTTTATCTCGTTCAACAATGCATCTATTAGTTTTGCATTTTTCACCATTTATCATTCAACCATTCATCCACTACTTTCAGCAACTTCCTCCATCCATCACCGTTCCTAACAAATTAAACTTTTAGTTGTCTATTCTATTTATCAACTACTTTTAGCAACTTCTTCCCAACTTAACAATTAAGCCATTGCTTTTAACCAACAATTGACTGACTACGTTCAGCTAGCTATTTCAACCAGCCACCCTTAGTTTTAGCAACTTTTTCATGACTTAACAAGTAACCATTACTTTTAGCTTTACGTTTACTACTTTTAGCTATCCCTTAGCTAACCATCCAGCCACTACACTTCAATTTAAATATTTAACTACTATATTTAGCTTACTATTTATTCTTCAGGTTTACCTGGTTCAACCATTTCCCCAATATGTTTTGGCCTTTTAACTATTTATCGATTACTTTTAGCCTGTTTGAACCATTTATCCACTACTTTTAAGAACGTTTTCACCATCTAAAGGCCACCCATAACCGCTAGCTAACAATTTTAACTTTTATCCGTCTCTTTTAACCCTTTCTGGACTAATTTTTGCGAGCTATTTTAATCATTTGTCTATCGCTGTTTGACAATTTCAACCACTTGTTTATTTTTAGCTTTATCATCCCTGCTTCATTACCTATTTAAACTAGTTCTCCAGTACTTTGTATATCTAATACAACTTCTTGTTTATTACTTTTAGCTCACTGTCAAGACTTTTCATTTCACTTGGTACATGCTGACACTCTCAGCCACAACTCTAGGATCCAGGTATACTCATTAAAAAAAATAAATCCAATAGTAATTTCAGTGTTCTCCAAACAGCTCATCTTTCCATGTATTCCCTGGCTATGCTATACAAGTACCAAAAAGTCTGTCATTATAATAAAGGAGATGATATTTCTGATTTACTTTACCACCACCAAAGCCAGGACAACAGTGTCTTTCAGCAACTAAAACTACTCTTTTTATGATTTGGAATGAGCATAGGAGAAAGAATGCAAACTGCAGTTTCTATATTTATGAAATGATCTTGTATAGTAAGTCTAAATGCAGCTGGGACAGTAAATAATGTAGTCAGGATTGTATGCTCAAGCTGCTTAAATGCTGGATAATAGCATTTAATCCACGAGCTGAACATTAAGCACCTTTATGTGTCACAAATCCTTCCCTTATCACCATTTAATGTCCCATGTTTTCCAGGTATTCAGTCTTTTACAGAGAAGTGAGCAAATTGAGATTTTAGGGAGCTATGAGTCATCAGATTTTCATTATCTCTGCCAGCTGACTGATTAGAACGACTGTAATTTGTGCCTCTGTGAAGTATAACCTATTCAGGTGTGGGATGTTTTTTTGAAAAATGCACATTGACATGCTGGCTTTTTAAAATCTTGCTGTATTCACAATTTGTACACAGATAAATAGGGACTCATTTCAGACAAAGCCTTTGTTTACATCCGTGCAGCCTCCCTCCTCCTCTGCTGCTCATTTCATCCTGCAGTTATGTAAATATGGATATTAGTGATCAGCACCTTCCTCTCTCTCACTGCACATCAGGATTTCATGAGTCAAAGTTCAATCACACTGAACTCTGTGTGAACAAATCAGGAACTGAATGAATCTCATCCTCTTCCTTGTTGAAATTTCATTTTTGCTGTGACTCCATCTCAGCTTGCTGATGGTTACAACACATACTGTATCTGCCAGGCTCAGTCAGCCCTCATGGCTGGTTTCCAGACTTTATTCCTGGATCAAAAACTGAGCTCAAAGAATATAGCCTCTCTTTGTGATGACACTACTTCGTTCTGCAAACGTGGTCTGCCAAATTGTAAGTAATTACCAGCATGTAAACTGGTCTTTTTCACAGCAAACACTTGTCATAGCATTAAAATCACAGGTGGAATGAATAACAATGCTCGCTCTGTTCTGTTTAATTGTGCTATAAAACATGACATGCTCAAATCCTGAACAAGAGCCCTGGGACCGGCACATTGATTGGAATACAGTCACTGACAATGTTTTCACACTGTAAAAAATGTCTGTTAAAAATCTGGCAGCAAGGGGTGTCAGAAAAAAATAGTAGAACAGGTAAAACAATGAAAGCAACAATAAACAACTATAAAATAATCATTTTAGCTGATTAAAAATACAGCAAAATATTGTGTAATTTTGCAGTGAACCATTTTAAAAGAACAAATTGCTGTAAACATTTTGATATGAACATTATTTACAGTTTTGGCCTGTTTTTTTTATTATGATTAACAAATAAATATTACTTTTTAATCTGTAACTTCACAAGATATTATCTGTAATGTAGTTCTCAATATAAATTTTCTTAAATAATGGCAAATATCTGTAAAAAAAAAAAAAAAAAACCAATAGTTTTTGCAGATTTAAATGCAGTGAAAATAGTGTTATTTTATGGTATATTTTAAAACAACAAATTATCCATTTTAAAATATAAAGATTCTTTAAATTGCTGACATTATTTAAAGTTTTGATCAGTTTTGAATCTAGTTTTTCTAACATGTAAATTACTTCATATATAATTCATTTTTACTAGATATTGACTGTAATTTATATGAAACAGAAAACATCTGTCGTAAACAGCTAAAAATAAAAATACTTGAAAACTGTTTAAAAACGACAACAACAAAAAAACATTAATTTTTCGCAGTTTAGTTACACCACAGGTCAAAATGTCCACCACAGGAGAGGCTGTAACCTAAAACTTTCCCAAAATCTCTTCTTTCTCATCCTGCCAGTTAGAGATTTTCAGAGCATTGGGCCGTCAAAACAGATCTCAGTTCATGATTAGTGTATCCGGCCATCAGTCCGCAGTAGTTAAGAAGAAATGAAGAGTTAGAAGCATGCTGCATTAACTCCAAATTCATTCAGTATGCTTGAGAGCAACTTCAACAAATATTCACTGACAGGTGAAAACACCTGTCTGCCTTTCATACCACCTTCAACAGCAGGAATATCTCCTGAGGTTGGCGATGCATTTTCATGCCTCTTCATGCTTTGTGGAAACACCCAACTTTAAGTGCTATTTGTTAAATATATTTATATAAAATGATTTCTAACACACTCTACCCGTGATCGGTGAGCACGTGTTCAATCGTGAAGCTTGACACAGGGTCAGAGCAGTGTTTCTGTGCACATTCAATCTATTTAATCAGTATATGCAGCTCTTTAATTCTTCAGACAGAGATCACTGCCTGCCTGGATCTGAACCAGCGACCTTTGGGATTACTGGTGGACCTCGCTGACCTCAGTCATCTTGCACAACTTCCCTATTGCCAAATACAGTTTCAGTATGGAAGCAAATGACTGTCACTAAATTCACCTCCATCCTCAAACCTGTTTGCGAACCTCCACACCCAACCCCACCTAGCCAACAGCTGGAGGCAGCTTTACAGGATTACAGAGCAGCTTTAGGCATCATGTGTTTTATCACAGATCAGGACTAAGTGAAGGGATGATGCCTCATCAGGGAGCACTCAGCAATTCATATTTTGACCTTCGAATGATAAAACTTTATTCTGCTGTCATAGCCTGTCCTGTTTTGCAGTGTGAAAATGAACATTTTAAAGGTTTTTTTTTAGTTTTTTTTTTTTAGGCATTTTATTTATATTATCTTCCAGTTTTGTTAAATTAATTACAGAAAAAAAAACTGACAATAAAAAATGGGCCAAAACTGTAAAAAATGTCCATGTCATTTTTTTTTTTTTGCATTTTCAGGAATGTATAGTTTTTCTTTTACAGTACTTGAAAGTAAAATTACACTATTTGTAACTGTATTTAAATAAGCAAAAATACACGTAGATAAATTGCACTATTTAAAAAGGAAAATATGGATATTAAGGGTTTTTTTTTAACTTTTTTATTATAAAGATTTTGTTAAATTACAGACAATATCCAATAAAATTACAGATTTTTTTTTTTTTTNATCACAGATCAGGAATAAGTGAAGGGATGATGCCTCATCAGGGAGCACTCAGCAATTCATATTTTGACCTTCGAATGATAAAACTTTATTCTGCTTTCGTAGTCTCTCCTGTTTTGCACTGTGAAAATGAACATTTTGAAGTTTTTTTTAGTTTTTTTTAAAGCAATTTATTTATATTTTCTTCCAGTTTTGTTAAATTAATCACAGAAAAATAAAAAAAAAGACTATAAAAAAATGGGTCAAAACTGTAAATAATGTCAATTTTTTGGCATTTTCAGGAATGTATAGTTTTTCTTTTACAGTACTTGAAAGTAAAATTACACTATTTGTTATTGTATTTAAATAAGCAAAAATATACGTAGATAAATTGCATTATTTAAAAAGGAAAATATGGATATTAAGGATTTTTAAAAAAACTTTTATTATAAAGATTTTGTCCAATTACAGACAATATCCAATAAAATTACAGATTTTTTACAGCTTTTATTTAAACCTCCTGTCGGCCACCGTTGCTGCCAGGTATTCAGATATTTCTAACAGGTTTTTTTTGTGTTCGGTGGCTTTTCTGTCTCTTCTGTGCGTTCTCGGTCGCTGTATTATAAAATCCTGCTCTGCTACAACATCCTCTCCTGCTTTATTCCGTTTATCAGAGCAGCACTGAGCCCTGCATGTTATATAAGCAGCATCCTGGAGCCGGGCACAGCACCAGAATCGTGACAGATAAGCGCGGATACCGGAGCCAAGAAAACCGGGCTTTGATGGCAGCGCGAGCTAAGCCAAAGCGTCACGCAGACACGTCGCGCGAAGGAAAAAAAAAACTAACAAAAAAACAAAAAACACCCCAAATCTGCCCCCTGAAGGAGGAAGAGGAGGAGGATGAAGAGGAGGGGGCGTCAACTCGGGATGAAACGTGTCTCTCCGGTTCTTTCCCCTTCCTCGCCGGTTCGGTTCGGCTCGGCTCGGTTCGGTACCTACCAGCAGCTTCCAGCACAGCAGCCAGAACGAGATCATCTCCAGGCGGCCGCGGCGCGCGCATTCCTCTCCGCCTCTCCCCAACGGCAGCGCGAGCAGCCAGGCGGCCACTCGCCGGCGCGAGGAGGGACGCATGCAGGCTGACGGCTGCGGCGCGTGGATATGAGAGAGGTGGAGAGAGGTAGAGAGTGAACGGAGGGAGAGAGAGAGAGAGAGAGAGAGCGAGAGAGAGAGGGAGCAAGAGTGAGAGAGAGAGGGAGAAAGAGAGAGAGAGAGAGCGAGGGGGGATCGACCTGCTGCTGGGAGGCCGTGAATTAGAGCAGAAGAGAGAAATCTGTATTGACAGAATATTGTTCACCTCTGTCTGTCTCTCTACCACCGCATCCCCACGTTCCCGCCCTCCAGGTTCCAACACTGTAAAAGATAGCCATCACAACAAGTAGGCTAGGCCTATAGGGATGTACCACTCAGTGAGGGGAGGCGTTGATTGGATGTATCATGGTAACGTCACTATTTTGTAGGATGAATATACTGTATAAGAACTCTTTCAAACACAGTCTATGGATGAACCAGGGAAAGACACCCCCCTGAAGAAGCAAGTACATCTGATGCTTCAGACAGTGAAGTGACTCCAAGAATTCTGAATTTTCTGCGATGCAATGCATGAAGCACATGTATCTGTGTCTCAAATATCGCTCATGGGTTTTGTTTTTTTTCTACATTTGTTATAGGTCTTCTTGAAATATATGAAAATCTGCTGGATCAAAAATCTACATACAGCAGTGGTGATATTTGGTTTAATGTCTCTTGGCCATTTTCAGCTCAGCTAGTAGCTGTAGCTGTCCACAAGCTTCTGGTCGTATCACTGACGTCCTCTCGACAGAACTGGTGCAGTTAAACTAAATTTGTTGGCTTTCTGACACAGACTTGTTTCTTCATCACAGTCCACAGGTTCTTGATGGAGCTTAGGTCAGGACTTTGCAGAGGCCGGTTGAAAACCTTAATTCTAGCCTGATTCAAGCATGATTTTAGATTTCACTGAATAATGTGGAGGTAACCTTCCTCCTTCATTATTCCATTTACTTTGTGTAAAAGCCCACTTCCCCTGGCAGCCCCAGAGCATAATACTGCCACCACCATGCTTGATGATAGGTTTGGTGTTCTTGGGGTGAAAGGTCTCACCTTCTCTCCTCCAAATATATTTCTGGTCATAATAGCAAGTTTTTGTTTTATCTGACCACAGAACTTTCCTTAAGAATGTCTTTTATTTGTCCATGTGATCAGCACCAAACTTCAGTTGAGCTTTAGGATACTGTTTTTAGAGAAAGATCTTCCTTCTTGCACAGCAGCCTCTCAGCTCAAGGAGATTTAAAACACTGCAGACCTGCTTTTTGGTGATTCTTGGTTGACTCTTGACCGTCCTGACTAACTGTCTCTTGGCAGCAGGTGATAGTTTGCATTTTCTTCCTGATTGTGGCAGTGACACAACTGTGTCACGCACTGTGTGCTTACAAACAGCTGTTTTCACAGATGACCTTGGGATCTGAAGCTGCTTTTAAATGACCCCAAGTGACTTTCCTGATTTGTTCAAGGGGATGATTTTCTTCTTCAGATCTGTACTTAGCTCCTTAGACTTTCCTATTGTAATGTTGGGCCCTATTTAAATTAGTCAGTCATAATCTCTTACAAGAAGGTCAGAGGTCATGCCACTGAGGAAACTTGATGTACACAACTTAATAATTGAACAAAGCTGATCATTTAAGTTGCTGTATGTATATTTTTGACGCTGCAGGTTTTGTCAAATTTGCAGAAGACCTAAAATAACATTTTCAGGGTGTTTTTAGTTGCGAGGGGTTCGCAAAATTAGATGCTTGATGGACGTAGGACTCAGCAGTGTCATGATAAAGGATTGACTGGTGCTCTACAACGGAAATCAACGCAGGATTCGCACTCCTACAGCTACGTAAATATGGACTCCACCTAATTGCACAAACACTCAAAAGCTGCTTGCTCCTGGACTTCAAACTGGACCAACATGGCACCTTGCAGCTTTTTTGTTTTTGAAACTTTTTTTACTGTGAAAACAGTTCAGTGAAAGGAGCTATGCAGTTGCTGAATCTGTCTTCATTTTAAACTAACAACATTAAGTTTAAAAGTTTTTGTTGGGTTCATGAGATGTCGGATCATGCTGTGTTGGAAACGCACTATAAAAGAAAACCATCATAACAAGTAGGCTCGCCCTATCCAGACATGTCACTCACTGAAGTCATGCTTCAGTTGGATGCATCATTCCTACTTTAACATACAGTATGACCCTGCAGGAAAAGGTTCTGAGAAAGTTCTGCAAGGTTCTGTTTTTAGCAGGAAGTTCCCCTCCCTCTCAGGGAAGAGACTAATTCATTTCTGAAATCTCTGATGAGTCCTAAAACGGTCATTCCATCTTAAATCATTAAGGACCTTCTGCTCTTCCATCTCTAATTTGCTTGAAACTTCTTTTTTATATCAAAAACTGTGGATGTTTAAAATGTCATTTGCAAAATTTCAGCTTGGTGTATCAAAAAAATCTGCATATCTAGGGAAGTACTTAAGTATTGACCCACTTCCAGCGCATTTTTTGCAAATTAAAATTTAAGGCTATGTTTGAACACCAATATCTCAAGAACTACTGAAAATTTAATTTATTTTGAATCTGCAAAATGAGAGTAAAGTAGATCTAATGATGCATGACTATGGTTGAGCTGAAATATGAAAAGAAATTGAAGTCATGAGAAAAGTCCCACCGCTTAGCACAAAAAGTTGATGATGTAGAAGGTAGCAAGTGATGAAATCCTATATATATATATATATATACAGCTGAAACCAGAAGTTTACATACACTGAAACGTACCCAAACGTTTGACCCAAGTCATACAGTTTAAAGGCAATGCTACCAAATAGTAAGGAAATGTATGTAAACTTCTGACTTTGAAGAAACTAATAAAAAAATTCTCTCTCTCATTATTTTGGCATTTAGCAAATGTAAATAATTGTGGTAATCCTAAGTGACCGAAAACAGGAAACGTTGAGTCTGATTTAACGTCAGACAGTGAGAAAAAGAAAAGAAAGGTTTTTTTGTTGGTGGGGGTAAAATGGATCTTGCTTAGTGTTCCGTTAAGAATAAACTTTGCCTTCAAGACCAACATTGCAAGCTGGACTCAAAATACACAAAATGCCCAAAACACAGCCATTAATATTGTTGTTAGTTACACCACAGGTCAAAATGTCCACCATAGAGACTCATAATCTCCTTTTCGGTCACCTTGCCAGACAGAGATTTTCAGATCATGGGGCCGTCAAAACAGATCTGATCCCTGCCCACAATTAGTTTATCTGCCATCAGTCCATTGTAGTTAAGAATAAATTAAGAAGTAGTCCAATGGTGCAATAGATTCATTCAGGTATGCTTGACGGTTTTAGAATTGTTGCTTACAGGGTGGGGTTGCCTTTTCCACTGGCTTGGTCAGATCTGAAAAATCTTGGTGGTGGCAGACAATAACCAAAAGACATAATTCAGGAATTCTGTCATGCTGTTAAAAACTATGTCAGCATGAGAGTTGAGAACTTACACACTGATGTACTTTGGTTTATTATTTTACAGTTAATGTTACTGATCATCTGATGTGCTATAAACTAATACAGGTACAGTTAATACGTTGGTTATTCAGCTACACAGTCTCTTTGGGTTCTAAATGTGTTTGAGAATAATTAGTTGTTTTATAACAACCAAATTAAAATGAGCGTACAGACAAGCACATCAAAGTCAGAGGAAACGAACTGAATTATCAGCCCCTGAGGTGACAAATGTAATATTTCATCTGGAAAAAACAGACTCACAAAAAAATAAAAGGAGAGCTTCATTGTTTGCTAGATTGAATACCTACAGGCCAACATCTGTCTCAGTGTAATTTAGGATGCTTTCAGTTCATATCGATGCCTCAGTTTTCATGCTTTTTTTCCCGCTCATAGCCCAGGGTGCGCAGTTTTCCGGACACTGAGTCAATATGGCAGTCTGGAACATGCTCACAGCATATAAAATCCCTGCTGTAGTTATTGTAGTGTAAAAAACACACACACAACTAAATGTAGCAACAGCGGTACATGTGTTAAAGAAAACAAAGTAGTAGCTGGAGGCGCTTGCACTGTGCTTCGCTTCCACCTTGTTCTCTTCTTCTCCTTCTCTCAGCATTGTTCATGACACTCGGTCTCAGCAGGCCATTTGAACTTCAGTTCTGCAGATCCCCTGAGGGTTGCACGTTAAAGTTCAACAACAGTAGAGTTGAGAATAAACTTACTGTAGTATGCTGCAAAACTCATGAAGGATTGCAGGGACGGTGTGTCATATAGGGCAGGTGTATTGGCTATGTTGACCCGATCTTGGTGTTGGTGAAGTCCATCTTTGGTTTTAGATTGATCTATCAATACTCTTTTCTACCCTTTGCTGTACAGTGTACAAGGTGTGTCAGAAAAGTTCCAGGTCTAGTGTCACAAAAGGTATATTTCAAACGATGAGTTTTCCCCTTGAGACGATCAACCAGCACGTGTGCAAAGAGATCCGGCGTCGTTTGCTTCATTCAATGCGCCAGAAGAGGCCAGAGTTGTGACAAGACAAGTCGTGGCTGCTTCACCATGACAACACACCTGCTCACAATGTCCTGAGCATCCCACAGTTCCTGGCTGAGAAGAACATCTCCGTGCTGAAGCAACCTCCCTACTCACCCAGCCTGGCTCCATGGGATTGTTTCCTCTTCCCCAAGCTCAAGGGGGTCATCAAGGGGACCCGTTTTGAAGACATGGACGACATCAAGATGGCTGTGATGATGGAGCTGCGGAGCATCCCGGAAGAATCCTTCCAGGAGTGCATGGCGGCGTAAAGAGAAGGCTGGGAAAGTGTGTTAGACTCCAGGGGGATTACTTGGAAGGGGAAACTTGTAGTTTGTAGTTTGGATTTGAAATATATCTTTTGTGACACCAGTCCTGGAACTTTTCTGACACACCTTGTATATGAATATATCAAAGCATTCTTGCCACTGGCTGAAATGAAATGACCCTACTGGACTCTGATTCGTGACCTTTAACATTGACTGATAGACTCTTAT